CTCATTGAGCAAATGCTTATGTGTTTTATTGACATCCAGTTTTTTAAGAGATGTGTCCACAGAGCACATGATATTCTTGGCAGGATTTTTTAGTTAGTCTCTTTCCCAACAATAGCCTAGGTGTAATTAAACCTGCTGAACTTTTGTTATTCTATCCAGTTTTTTTTTTTTTTTTGGAGGAGACTATGGCTAGAAATATTACCAAGATTATAAGAATAAAGTGGTACAGACGTCATAACTATTACTGTGAGAAACTAAATGAAAAGATGTGGTAGATGATGTTCTTGACCTTCACAGGAGTATCTCTTAATAAACTTTAGTAAATCTGTTTTTTGTGAACTAACTGGAACATAGTTTAAACTTTTTGTTGTATAAAATTCCAAATATAGGGCTGGGGTTGTGCCTTAGTGGTGGAGTGCTTGCATCTTGTGAGGCACTGGTTTCGATTCTCAGCACCACGTATAAATAAATGAATAAAATAAAGGTCCATCAACAACTGAAATAAATAAATAGGTAAATAAGTAAGTAAATAAGTAAAAAATAGAAATTCCAAATATATACAAATAATGAGAAAAGTGTAGTTAATTACTGTTAGCATTGTTATTCTTTTTTTGGTACCAGGGTTTGAACCCAGGGGTATTTAACCATTGACACACATCTCTAGACCTTTTTTTTTAAAAAAAAAAAAAAAAAATTATTGTAGATGGACACAATACCTTTCTTTAAGTTTATTTTTATATGGTGCTGAGAATCAAACCCAATGCCTCACATGTGGTAGACAGGTGTTCTACCACTGAGACACAACCCAGCCCTCCCTTGACCTTTTTGAAACAGGGCTGGCTTTAAACTTGTGGTCATCCTGCCTCAGCTTCCCAAGTCGCTGGGATTACAGGCGTGTGCTACTGTGCCTGTGCCCGACTTGTCATTCTTGTTTCATCTGTAACTTATCCTTTTCTCTCTCTCCAGTCAGACTTGAAAGAAATGCACCCATCATAGCATTTCAATTGTTAAGTCCTGCAATATGTATCTAACAGATACTTTTAAAAAATTAGCCATAATAACAAATGAAATGCTTTATGATCTCTTTATGGATTTATTATTCTCAGTTTTTTTCTGAAGAGTTTAATGAGCTTATTATAGACTGATTGAACTTTTTAACCTAAAATTTTGTTTCTAGAACTAGCTTGACAGGTCAGAGTGAGTAAATACCTGAAATACCTGTTCTCTCCATTGTGACATGAGAACCATGTGATTCATGTTTCTGAAACTAGGTTATTATACCATGTTAGGTCTTTCATTGGAGCCCATTTAATAATTTATTTATTTATTTCTGTGAATCTTGTGATCTTCATTTTTGGAATAAAGTTTTTAAGTGCATAAAATAAAATTCATAGGATAATAAAAGAAATAAATTATGTTGAGTTAATATCAAAATATTAAAATTGTGATCTTTCTTTATTAGTGAATTAAATAATAAGTTATAGCCTGAGATGTAAAAACTATTTTCTAAATATATTACAACAACATTTTGAGATATTTGTAATAGTTTTGATATAAAAATGTGTGATTTTTATTCATGATAAAGTCTTATATACTGCTAAATACTGCTGAGGTTATTAGTTTCTTACATTCTTAATTTAAGGAAGTGCAAACTTCATCTGATTGTTACTGAAAATTAAGGAACCTTTTTTTCCCATTTAAATGTATAGTTCCCTGTTTTAGAGGATATTGGTTTTTGTTTTTACTTTTAGTGTTCATTGATGTCTCATACTAATGTCACACTTGCTATTTTGATTTTGCCCTAGATATAACACTCTTTTATCTAATTGGTTCTAGTTTAACTAGAGAAACTCTTGAGTTGAGAGCTCTTTCCTAACATTTTAACATGACCACTCAGGAGTTTTTAGGGGCTTGCCTTTGAAGGTATATCGAAGATGTTAGAGTCCCAGAGGAAAGAAGTAAAGTTCCAGAAACAGCAGACTGTGAAAAGAACAGTTTTGTTCAGCTTTCTTAAGAATTAAGAGTATTTTAAATATCATTTCCATGAAGGAATGTGGTGATATCTAAGACCCAGTTTTTAAAAATATGTACATATGTTTAAAACATAATAGTTCATAATTATTAAAATACAGTATCAGAATTGATTAAAACTACATGAAATAGATTTGGCAGGTCATCATTATTATTATGTTCTAGATGTACAAACTGAGACTAGTGTTTATTTGAAGATCAATAGCGGAGACCTTACATCTTTAAGATTGTAGTTTATTGCTCTTTCAAATAAACCTTATTATTTTGTTAGCTATTTTATTGTTCTTATGGCTAAACACATTTAAGCTTTAGAAAAACTTCTGTTATTTTAGAAGGACTCCTTAATTACATTTTGTACTTTCTAAAATGTTATTGACACCTCATCTAACAAAGGTTTATTATGGGAGATTATTAGTTCTACTTTCATGACCTTGAACTGCACATTTTGCACCAATTGAGTAATTTTGCCCTAGTTGATTTGTGCTGAGAATACTTTGGACTTTGATAAAAGTGCCAGTTGATCCCTTTCTTTGCATTTTTGAAAGCTGCAGTATTGGATAATCACCCAGTAGTATGTGCATAAATGCAATGCTGTGGTTATTAGTGATGGGAAAATACAAAAGGAAATTTAAGTATCTATAACAGAAGGGAGAATATATGATTATACAAATTTGGAATACAGGATTTTTTTGTTTTTGTTTTTGGTACTTGGGATTAAACCCAGAGGCACTTAATCACTGAGCCACTTCCCCAGCGCTTTTTTATATTTTAGTTAGAGACAGGGTCTTGTTGAGTTGCTTAGTGCCTTGCTAAATTGTTGAGGCTGACTTCGAACTCTCAATTCTCCTGCCTTAGCCCTAAGCCATTGAGATGGGATAGGTTTTGTAAAAGAGACATTTAATAAATGTTGCTTAATGAATATATTTTTGAAGAATGAATGAGTTAATTGACTACCATGAGTTATGTTATTGGAAAGAAGAGACATATGCATGAAAACGTGTTGATTGTAGGATGGAAAAGAATATAAATGGATTGTAAAAGGTGACCCTGAAATGAGAAATGTGTGTACTTGAGAAAAAAAAGTTTTTATCAGATTAAGAGACATTTCCAAAAAAGGTTGTATTCGACTTGGTGGCTTATGGTATACATTATTTACAAAGTTAAGTGAAAAATCCTGGGAGCTTAGTAGAAATATTAATGGATATAAAGAAGTTAGGGAGGAAAGTGTTAAGTGTACAAAGGAAGAGAGAAAGGGTTGAAGGGGATCACAGAGATAGTAAGTGGCTGGTGAATTTATTTGATATGTTGAATTTGAGAAGACTATAGAAGATGGATCCCGGTAAAGGATAACGGAGTATATAGTGATATTCTGGAAGCAAAATGAAGGTTAAAATAACAAAAAGGGATTGGGGATATAGCTCAGTTGGTAGAGTGCTTGCCTAGCATGCACAAGGCCCTGGGATCAATGTCTAGCACCACCCCCACCACAAAATAATAATAATAACAAAAAAGAGGATATTGATATTAGTAAGTTCTAGAGATATCAAAGGGAAAGTAGGCTGAGAAGACCCATTAGGTTAGATAGCTGTTTGTGGTGAAATGCAAACCTTTTTGGCAAAGTAGTGAGGACAAAAGGACATCATTTTATGAACTGTAATGAAGAAACTCTTTCTCTACCATAATTATTTCTCAATCTGAGCTTTCTATGGATAAAAATCCAATCTAGTATTCCTAAAAGGAGCAAAGTGAAGCATACTGTATGAGAATTAAAAAAAAAAAAAAGGAAAACTGAGGAAAAGCAACTGGCATATTATATAATGCTTATTTTGCATTTGATAGCTTTGCATTTTGGTGGTGGTGAGGGAGCCATTTTGGTATCTGGCTCTAAAAACAATATAAATGTTGATAGCTTGGGCTGCAGTTCTGAAAATTATAGCCTGTGTTTTCCTTTACTCTTTTGTGTTCTTTGGAGGGAACTATTTATGTAGGATTCACATATATATAGCTTTTTTACTAAGTAACATAAAAATATGACATTTATTTAATAATTTAATATATACAATGCTGAATATTGCCTGTGCTGAGTCACCATATAACTTAGGTACCATCTCCTTTAAAAACTGTGTTTAATTTAAAATTTTACTTCTCCTTGGTAGTTTGTTTTTTAAAAAAACACTTATTTAAAAAAATACTGGCAATTTGATGTTATGATCAAAAAATGTATCTAATAATCTGTGGTGATTTAGATTTTAAATTATTTAAGTTAGAAATGTCTTAGTCCTATGTTTATTATAATGTCAATTAAAAAACTACAAGAATTTAAATTTCTAAATTTAGGGACTGAGTCTTTATTAAAATTTAAACATACATACATGATTATCATGCTATTTTAACATTCCATAATGTGTTATGATTGTCAGTTCAGCTTAAAATCTACACAAACATGTTAGACTCATAGCATGTTCAGGGGGAATACATTATTATTATAGTTTAACTTAATGCCTCAAAGGCATTCATTCTTATTGTGTTCTGACAAAATCCATTTAAAATTATTGGTTTTCACAGTATTAAGTGTTAAAATATATGAAATACATACAATATAGATAAGCTAACAAATATGTTAAGGTACAATGATACCTGATGTTGAAGTCAATGTGACTTAGTAATCATTATCTACTGCATTTGTAAAAGACATTGAGCCTGTTTGAGTGCAGTTTTTCATCTTGGTTAAGTAAACCATATCAAACATTTATTTCAAGTTATTTTGTAGCAAAATAAAGCATCAGACTTATCATTTATATTACAGGTTTCCACATGTACTATGACTGAATTTTAAAATTAACTGTCATATTTAAGAACTCTTGTTAGTCTGTTGTATTTATTCATGTTTAGAATTTTAACAAGAAAACTGTCTTTTTTTTTTTTTAAGTTGGGGAAATTGTGAAATTAGCCTGTGACTTTTATAATTAATTTAAAAATGCTATTTAAAAATTCATCCATTATTTATGATTTAGATTTGACCATCTAAGTTTTATTCCCACATCACAAAATATATGAACAAACAGTATCATAAGAATTTTGGTTGAGAAAAGTGTTATTCTTTGAGTGATGTGATGATGTTTAATTTAAATTGATAGTGACTTTAAAATGAAAATTTTCTCAAGGCTTCCATTAAGAATTTAATACCAGATTATTAAACCACAGTAACTTGGGATGAGTTTAATGTTTAATTTATTGGCTTTTTGATTTGCTTCAGTTCATTCAAAGCTTTCTGAATCTACTGGATGGATTAACATTTTGGTTGATTTAATAGAGTATAACCTTCCATTTTGAGACCTCCAGCATATTCCTCTTCTCTTCTCTGGCTTAGATTTTGCTCTTGGTTTATTATATTTTCCATTTAGGTTGTTTTCTCCACATACATCATGCCACCACCAGCCTCCTAAAGAAGATAGATATGCAATTTAATGGATACAAACACATATATACTGGTATTCTATTTCTCCATATATAGATCTTCATTTCTGTTAACATTACAGTGTTGTAGATGCATGTATCCTGATTTTAAATAATCTGTATAACTTTTATTATAATACCAGAAAGAGAATATCTAAACCTCCTAAGATATTAGAGGTAAACTACCTAGTTGAACTAGAATTAATATTTTTGGGGGGTAATGGTTTAGATTTGAAAGAGTTGTGACATTATGAATAATAGCTAAAACCATAGGAAGATATTTTGTAGACGTGAAAATTAAGTATTGATATAAAAAAATGATACCTGAATACATTTCTGGACAGTTGGAGTGTCCTTTTGCTTTGTGATCCCACGTAGAAAACGTCAAATCCCTGTGTTCTGGGAGTGACTTGGGGACATTTCCAGCAATCTCAACTAGATGTAGTGTGTAGTTGGTTTCATGATTTCCCAAGTGAAAAGAATACTCAATATAATGCTTGTTGTCTTTCCAGTCTTCTAGCTCAAATTGTAAAATGTAATTAGATGTTTTCACTATGGAATATATTTTCTCTAGGCCCAACCAAAATTCTCCTGAAAAAGAAGAGTTTTAAAAATCTGTGAATTGTTAGTTATAGATTAGGCCTCAACTGCTGTAAGTGAATAGTGATTTTAGTGCTGAATGTCTTTTTTCTAGAGTCTTTCAAAGTATTTCTTTTAAAAACAATTTTATCAAAGATAGTTTATACACTAAGCATGTTAAAATATTAATAGATCTGCTTCAAGTCTGATTATCCTTTTTTTCTAAAATGGATATTGCCAGATGTTTCACATCTGACACATATGACACTATTCCATAATAGTCTTAATATTTTTTTAGGGTTGGTCATTGGTAGAGTAATATCTTATGTCTAAATTGTTCCACCAGCTTTACTGTCAGCTCTTTATTAATGCCTACATAGTCAAGAGGCTTGTTAAGTATTCTTGGACTTGGATAATATGATGGTGCCATTTTTATCATATATAAACTGGGCCTGTAGTATTTGCTTGATAAATGTTTTCTTCATAGAAAAGAAGAATATACCCTGCCTCTTTTGGTGGTACCAGAGACTGAACACAGGGCCTCATACATCTTTTCTCTGTAATGAAAAATATATTTTTGTTTGGAATTTAAAATGTAGCACAACTATTAATAGATTATTTTTTATCACAGTCTTTATGAAATTATTTAATTTAAAAAGTCCATGTTTCCTTACTGATATTGTTAGAAAGCTTCATTTAAGCATTGTAAATACTACTACAAATGGCTTACTTTCTCATCAGAAATAAATAAGCATTCTGGACTTAACCATCAGTCTTTACATTTGGGTTACACTCACTCTTTGAAGAGTTGGAGCTACAAAACTTATCATTGAATATACCTTCTAACTAAGGATTTAATTGGCACTTTGAATATAAAACATTTTAAATGGTCAAATAGTAGTGAGTATTTTAAAATTTGATATAATAATATTTGTTTTCTACTTTGTTTTCTTTTCTTTTCCTCTTCTTTTTCCTTTTTGGTACCGGGGATTAAATTCAGGGGTACTCAACCACTGAGCCACATCCCCAGCTCTTTTTTGTGTTTTATTTAGAGACAGGGTCTGTACTGAGTTGCTTAGGACCTTGCTAAGGCTTTGAACTTGGTGATTCTTTTGAATCAGCCTCCCAAACTATTGGGATTACAGGTGTGCGCCACCACGCCTGGCTTGTTTTCCAGTTTATAAGTGGGCACTTATATATGATTCATAGACTTTATAATGTACTTTTAGGATTTTTAATGTCTGTTACTTTTGCTTATTTTATATTGTTATGTGATCAAAATAGAATAAATGTTGAGTTAACTAAATCAATTTAAATCATATCCCATACTATATATTTATAATATTTAAATAATTAGAATTTTAAAATTCATACTGAATATCTGACAGTTTCCTATCCCCTTGTTTATTTTATTAACATGATGTTTTATAGTGCTGGGGATCACACCCAGGACCTCATGATGTTAGGCATATACTCTTCCATTGAGCTAGTCCTCCAGTCCTCTTCTAACTTTTAATTAATTAATAGTTAAAATGTTAATGAAGAATATAATAACTAGTGCTAGGAATAGTTATCTTTGCAGCTCATTTATAAGCACCACTTATCAAAGCACTTAGCACTTAATCAAATTTTTCTTGAATAATTATAATTATGATAATTATAAGCCATCAAATTAAGTTGTGATAAGAATAATTAAGAACAGACATGTAATTGTGATAATGCTAATTCAAATAATGACAGTTATAATAAATATAATTAATAACAAATGTGTAATTATTTGTTAATAAGTTTTATGAAGACTGGAACAGTTACTTTTCATTGCTGTATTTTCAGTGCCTAGTCTGTAATAGGTTCTTTTTTTAAAAAAATATTTTTATTTTAGTTGTAGTTAGACACAATACCTTTATTTATTTATTTTTATGTGGTGCTGAGGATTGAACCCAGGGCCTCACAACCCAAGCCCCTATAATAGGTTTTTAAAAAATATTTCTAAATTAACAAGTGAATGAATGATTGAATGAAATCATCTTACCATCAAGTCTCCCAAAACCATTTCTGTAGTTCTCCCATGTTTCATTGAAGTTTTGTGATCCATCTATTCGGTGTTGAATTAAGGTCCATGGATTACCTATATATAATGAATGAAATTGTATATGTTTAGTAGATTGATGTTGACAGATATAAAAATATCTTTTGAGTTTGGTTTTAATTGGTGACTTTGTAAGTTAATGTGGTAACATATGGTAAGTGTATGGTGATATACTTCATATTATTTATTATGGTCCCAAACAGTTAAGGGAAGAACAACTAATGAATTTTTTCTTGGTAAATTTATTGACAGTAGTCACTTCAGATTCTTTTAAAGAGGAAATGGAGAATATTGAATAAATACATGAATAAATAAACAAGTATAAGTAATATATAGTTGTATTATACATATTTAACACAAATAGAACAGGCTTAGTCTTTCTAATAGATAATGAATAACTGTCTATTACTGTCCATTTTCTCCTTAGGCAGGTTTTACCTGATTTAACTTCACAGTAGACGTCAAAAGCTTGTGAGTTGCTTGGTTTAATGGTATATATGCCACTTGTACGTTCACCTCTTTTATAAATGGCAGAACAATCAGCAGGAATGCCTAGAATCAACAAAATGTTATCATAGAAGATTTAGTAAGAAGAATATCTTTGGAACTTGAGGCTTTACTTGCAATTTCATGGAATTGTAGTGACTACAATTTGTTTCAGGAATATGAATGCTAAGGCATTTTTCCATATGGCTATATTATGCAAGGAATATAAAAATAGTATTACCAACCTGAATTATTTCTTTTTAAAAATATTTTTATTAGCTGTTGATGGACCTTTATTTTATTTATTTATATATGGTGCTGAGACTCGAACTCAGTGCCTCACACATGCTAGGCAAGCACTCTGCTACTGAGTTGTGACTCCAGCCCCCCAACCTGAATTATTTCTAAAGAAACATGACAAAATGAGAATTTTGAGCAAATATCATCATCATCATCATCATCAGACATGGTATGAATATTAGGTGGCAGAAATGCGCTTGAAACTAAGTACAGAAACTTAGTACCTGCTTGGTGAATAGCAGATAGTTAGTTAGTAGATATATGTGGAGTAAACTTACAAGGAGAAAACTAGCAATGTAGACCTTTTTTTTTCTAAGTGAGTTGCATAAAAAAGTGAATGTTATGAGAATATATTGTTTTGAGACTGGTGTAGTGGCACATGCCTATAATTTATGTTACTGAGGAAGCTGAGGCTGGACGATTGTGAGTTTGAGCCCAGCCTGGACAATTTAGCAAGACCTGATCTCAAAACAAAGTAAAACACCATATTGAGGAGTAAATCATAAATGTATCATTTTGTTGAAGTTTGGGTGGGAATGGAAACTTTGTTCCCTGCAACTTTTGTTTTTCTTATGAAAATTTTCAAGAAAAAGAAAAGTGAAAAGAATTATTGAAGAAAACACCATAGTCTTGTTTGTATTCAACCATTGGTAACATCATACCATGTATGCTTCACACACAGACACACACACACACACACACACACACACAATCACAAATGAACCATGTATTTTGTTTGTGCTGTTTGAAAGTAGTTTTCGAACATCATGACTCAAACCCATAAATATTTCAGCATGCATTTCTTAAATGCGAAGTTGAAGTTGTTGTTTTCATAATTGTAATACCATAATCACATCTAAGATAATCATGCCATATTATCTAATATCAAGTTCATATTTATAGCTTGCTTATTGTCCTAAGAATTCCTTTTATAGTGTTAGAAAAACCCAGGAGCCAATTTAAATTGGTGTTTTGTATTTGGAGGATATGCCTTCTACTGTTAGTATAGATCTGAGTATAAGGATTCTGATGATAATGGTTTCAAGAAGAAAACCCATCAAATGATCTTACCATCTTGTTCTGTATTTTTTGTTTCATTCAGCTGCAGAGGGGGAGTAGTTCTTGGTGCTCTTGATTTGGAAGAAAGTGAATTTTCTGTGGGTTCTTGAATTCCAGTCCTTCTGAGCTGATAAAAGAATATAAATCTACTTTTAAAAATTGATACTGAATATATAATTAGGATAAATCTGAACTAAGGATATCAAAAGTATAATTTCTTTGTATCTTTCAGTTCACAATATTATGGCAAAACAAAAAACTGAGAAAATAACAACAAGCCCCAGGCATGCATAAAAAAGAAAACAAACAAAAACAGGAAGGCCAGAAGTTTTGCTTAAAATATTTTGTATATTCTCTTTATTTATATGAAAGATATACTTAATATTCTATTCATAAACACAGGCAGATTTTAAATTTAATCACTCAGGGTTGTAGGTCTAATTGAGTCTCAGATTTGTCAGAAAGACATAACACATAATTTGAACAAGGCTACATAACACTGCTTTCTGGGTAGTTTTGTGTTTTTTTGTTTTGGTACTGGGGATTGAACCCAGGGATGCTGAACCAGTGAGCAACATTCTCAGACCTTTTCTTTCTTTTTTTTTTTTTTTTTAAATTTATATAAAGACAGGGTCTCACTAAGTTGCTTAGGGCCTCACCAAGTTGCTGAGGCTGGCTTTGAACTTGTGATCCTCCTGTCTCAGCTGCTGGGATTACAGGCATGCACCATTGCACCCAGCTCTGGATAGTTTTTTTTTTTCTTTTCTTTTTTTAAAATTATAGATGGACATAATACCTTCCTTCAAATTTATTTTTATGTGGTGCTGACGATCGAACCTTCCAGTGCCTCACACATGCTAGGCAGATGCTCTACCATTGAGCCACAACCCCAGCCCCTCTGGATAGTTTTTAACCTGTAAATACATCTGTAGAAATTGGCAAACCTTTGAATGTATTTCAATATACTATTTTATTTAAAGCCTGAGTTTGCAATTGATTGCTTTTCTTATTGATGATGAGAAAAGCAGAATATGATATTTAGCATTATTTTTTTTTCTTTTTAAAATACTTTTTTTGGTTATAGCTGGACACAATACCTTTATTTTTTATTTATTCATGTGTTGCTGAGGATCGAACCCAGTGCCTCACACACATGCCTACCACTGAGCCACAACCCCAGTCCCAATATTTAGCATTATTATTATTTGCATGTGGTGGGGTGGGGAGCAGTGCTGGGATCTAGCCCAGAGCCCTTTCACATGCCAGGCAAATACTCTACCACTGATTTGCATCCCTAGCCCTCCTGTTAATTTTTTAATACTGGCATAAATGGCATTTCCTAGAACTTAATTTGTAAGAATCTGTTATAAAATTCAGTTACTGGATGTTAGTCTTTTCTTTTGAGTAAAGTGATCTTGAAGTCACTTAACTTTTTTGAATTTTGATTTTATAATTTAAATTTGAGAAGTTAGATGATCAGGGACTTCTTCCAACCAGAAATTTGCTTTGATTTCTTTATACAGAATTTCCCTTTATCCATGAAATCCATTATCTTATCTTCTAGGACCTCCCAATGAATGCCTGAAATGGCAGATAATGACAAACCCTCTGTATACAATTTTTTCCCTGTATGTACATGCCTGTGACAAATTTTAACTTATAAATTAGGTATAGTAGGATATTAATAACAATAACTAAGAATAATATAATAAAAGTTAGTTAAAGTGGCCTTTCTTTTAAAAGAATCAAGACAAATATTAATATTTATTATTTTTGGTCTGTAGTTTACTATGGGATGGGGAGGACACTACTGTGTATTTAATGTATAAGTAGAATATATATTGTGTAATGGTGCCATTTCACTTTTGTGAGTGGATGCATTGAATAATAATAAAAATATATAATAAAAAAGAATTTAGAAAGTACTATTTAATATAAAGGAAATTATGGAAATTAAAAGTAGTTGGCAAATTTTTTTTTTTTTTTAAATTAGTATTACCTATTAAAATGATGTTTGTTTAGTTGAAATCCATGGTGATACTTGTTTTATAAACTTGGGGAATATTTTCTTACCAGTTTCTCTGTTTTTTTTTTTTTTTAACTCAATGCATGGCTTTTAAATATTACTAATTAATGTTTTTGTACTATTCTCCTTTGTATTAGAATGCTTAGATTGTGGACATACCATTTAAATATTGACTTACCTGATTTTCTATTTCTTTTATTTGACTGTGCTGTTGGTTTAATTGTTTATATTGCTCTTCCACAGTCTGGAGAAGGTCTTTGATGCTATTATCTTGCTGTTCTACAAAAGTCTGGACATAGTTTGTAATTTAGTTAAAATTTTCTTTCTTTTTTTTTTTTTTGTTAAAGTTTTTATTTATTAAACTATCACCGTTTGTTTTTTTTTAAACTACCAGTGGGTTAGAAAAATGAATAGAGGTGATCATTTTCCCTTGTATGCTTTTTGAAAATAATACATAATTTTGTTCTTACATTAAAAAGTGTCATCTCTAAAATGTGATTTTCTGAACTTTACTTCAATTAAAAGAAATACCCTACACACAATATTTTAATAATAGTAAATCTACCATAGACTGTATTACATGTATCTACTTTGGAATACTGAAAAATAGTTTTTATATTTAAATTTCTTCAATTTTTTTTTTACTTATATCCAGTTATTTGCCAATAGTATAACAATCTGGTGTTCTAAATTTTATTACTTAATTCACTTGTAATTTTCATATGAAATGTAAAGTTTAGTTTTCATATATAATAGTAGGGAAGCAGAAACCAACTTTAACTTATGATGGGAAAATTTATTTTCTTTGTGTTATATTTCCTAAAAAAAATAAAGTATTTCAACAATGCAACAAAGTATTTCAAATAGTATGTCTTAGAATTATTTTAAAACTCCACACTAAAAAATCATGAACTGTTGTTGGTTTCTACTTACCTTAAGTGAAGTTACTTCTGGATGTTCCTGAATTTCAGGTTGATTTTGAATTAAATTAGTTAATTGTTCCTCCAAATATCTCACTTTGTGCTGTAGTAGAATTTTTTCTTCTAGGAGGCTTTCAAGTTTTGAGTTGAGTTCAAGTGACATATTTTTTACCTCTTCATTTTTCACTTGTAATTTGGATGTAGTTCTTCTTAATTCCTTTTCTTCTTCTTTGATTTCATTAGTTTGCAGTGATAGATCATAAAAAGATTGATCAAATATGTTTAGTTTTTGAAATATGTCATTAATTTGGCCCTTAGTCTTATGGACAAAATCTTTAAGACCATGTCCCAACTGAAGGAGGCCATTCGCTAAAATTTTTACATCATCTAGCATAGCAAATCTTGATTTGGGTTCTGAAGATATAGAATCAAATGATGAATTGTCTTGATCAATTCTGGAAGAAATAACTAGAGGAACTATAAAAAGAAAGAGCTTAATTTTATACATTTTTATCCCAATTATTCAATTTTAAGCAATTTGGAACTATTTTTCTCCCATAAGCATACCTAGACTTCTTTATATATACCACTATTTGCCATATAAACAGTAAGGTTGGCAAGGGAATATAGTTAATCGTTAAGCTCTGTTAACTTGCACGAATGTAACCTTTCACATTGAGTTATATCAATATTAAGTAAAATCAAGGAAATGAGCAACTAACTTAATAAGTAATTTGAAATTATTTGTTGTATTGTAAACTGTGCTTTGAGTGTTAAGGGGTTGACTTTTTTTTTAAAGCTTACATTAGTATTTTATGATTTTAAAAATTTTTAAAAAACTTGTTTTTACAGGTAATTTATCCTCAAAATTGAGGCAAAATTAATGAGTTAAGTATGCATTTTCCAAATTGTATTTTAATTCTTACAGAAGCAATCATGTATCCCCAAAATGCTTTCTCTGGAAGCCGTCCTCATTTCCTTCAGGTGGTGTCATGGTGCCCCATGCTGTGTTTATGAATAAGCTAACACATAATTGTGTATTCTCTTATTTGTTACTATAATTATTTTTAATATGTCTTTTTGCTTCACATATGTCTTAATCATCTTTGTATATTTGACAAATCTCATACATAATAAATGTCAATAAAGGTACTTCTCTTCCTTTCCCCATTATATTCTATATCTCTGTGTGCTAGACTCTTTTCTACATATCTACTGAAGTACCTACCAATAAATATGTATGGTCTTCTAAAGTCGAACTAGAATTAATTCTTAAATTCTTCCAAAGTCAGAAACAATTTTCCCATCAGAAATTCTTCTCAGGTTTTCTGTGGTGAGCGTAGCAACAATTTTCATAATATAAATTTAACCAAAACAAAAGACTAATAATAGGTCTAAAAATAAATGTTCCACTGTTCTAAGTTAGTGTTAAAAGAAAAAATATTAAATGCTAAATTGTAAGTTATTTCTTAATTTATTTTCTTTATTTCTTTATTTAAAGGCAGAATCTAATCTTTGCTTGAACTTGTGCCTATTTATTGAGTGTTCATATTAAGTGCTTTTTGAGAAAATAAATTTATAGATTAAATTTACTAAGAATATGGATTCTAAAATCAGACTATGGTCTCAGTTCAAAAGCCAGCTGTAGATGTCTGGGCTTTGACAAATTATTTAATGTCCCTATACCTTAGTATTTTCTTCTGTAAAGTTGGGGTAATTATAGTATGTAATTCACAGAGTTATGAGAATTTTTTTTTTTTAAGTCTGGAGTATTTCAAACAGTGTCTGGCAAATAAGAAGAACTTAGCCATGTTAGTATTAATCAGTCACATGAAACTTTTAGCTGGTGTATGTTGGTGTATATATAATCAACTATCTAATTAAAAGAAAAATTTCATAAAGTTAATACCTTTTTAACAAAGAGAAAAATATTGACAAAATGAATTTCAGTTTAAATTTTAAGTTGCCAAGCATTTTTTTATAAAATGAACCATTCTCAAAATTCTCTTCTTAGAAATGCCTCTACCTGCTGAAAAATAGAGGCCTTTTCTTTTGATGATTTAGTATTAAGGGATTAGATATATTAGATACTAAATATACCAAGTGATTAAAGAGTGTGATTCTGAAGCAGGACTCCTTAAATTAGAATACTAGCTCTGTTATTTTTCAGCTTTGTTACTCTTGGTCAAATTACTTAGCATCTCTGTTTTTTTTTTTTAATCTGTTGAGTAAAGATAATACCTACTTTATAGGGTTGTATAAAGATTAAGAATATTTTCAAAGCACTTAACATTGCCTGCTGAGTAATAATCACTATACATTATTATATATTAACTAACTTGTAATTAGGAACAATCAATGCAGATATACTAATACTATAGTTTTTTATTGGTGAAAATGATCTAATCCTGTAGTAAGGTCATGTAAATTTGGGAAATTTTGCTAGAATCTAAATTTTCTGAATTTTGGTCTCTTGAACCTTGACAAGGAAATTTGATTAGCCTGTGTATATTTTTTTCTTAAATTCCCAATAAGGAACCATATAATATTTGTAGCAGAAATAAAAAAAAAAGTAAAAATTTCTCCTTCTTTAAATGGAAAATTAGTTATTATTATTGATCATAAAGGACATATTTTGGAATTTTTCTTAACTAACCTGCCAGTTTTTGTGGCTTAGAACTATAGACCCTGATATTTTTATTCACTTCTACTGTAAACCTTTTATTTGCCAGATCTGTATCTGATTTTAATTTTTATCCTTAGAAGCTCTTCAGTATAATGCTCACCAAAAAAAAAGGGTGTATGGAGAAATTTTATTCCATAGTTAGACTTTTCTAGTATTAACACTTTCTGTACTATTTATGCAATTCCTCACATGGAGAGATAAGTAGTGGTTATGCATTCTTGATTTATGATACATTGTTTTTAAATAGAAATATCTGGATTTTTTTTTTCTGATAGTTGCTTGACTTAAATTATTGAGTGTAATTAAAGTGAGTAATTTGCCTAATTACAAGCTACAGAAGCATTTCAAAAATGGAAAAATGTAAAGAAAATAGTAACTTTATAAATGATATTATACCTATCTCTCAGTGTCTTCTGCCTGACTACACATTGTTAAAGGCAGAATCTAATCTTTGCTTGAACTTGTGCCTATTTAAATAGAACCTTGATGAAATATGACCAGTAATTTATAAAAATAAAAAAATTCTGTCAAAGAAAATAAAATACTATTAAGCAAAGTTAGATCCTGATTTAAGGATTTGTAGTTTCTAATCAGTGTACAAAATTTCCTAGGTACATAGAATTTTAGGACGTTTAGCAGCCTAAATTGTTTAACTTCCAAGCAAAGCAAAGTCCTTTTGCTTTTCCAGGTTATGCAATCTTATGGAGGTGGACTCCAAATAAAATACAAGATAGTTTGTGTTTTTTTATACATTGTATTTCTTCAGTTTCTTCATCTTTAGTCATGTCAGTTTGATTTTGAATTAGAGGAGTAGAACAACCCTTATACATGATTTTTTTCCTTACGTTTCAATTTTTCACAGTCGCCTGTGGTGCAGAAATGTTAAAGGAAAAATTCCAGAAATCACCAAGTCATTACTTTAAAGTGTACACCATTCTTAGTAGTAGCATGATGAAATCTGGTGCTGGCTTACTGCATCCCATCAGGATGTGAATCATCCCTTTGTGCACACTGTTTGCTGTATGTGCTACCTCAGCTGTCTTAGTTTATTATATCCACTGTTGTGGTATCTATCCCAGAGCATGTGTTTACATAACCCTTATTTTACTTAATGACAGCCCTGAAGCACAAGGGTAGTGATGCTGGAAATAAGTGAACAGATAATTAAAGTTTAACTTATATAATTGGGGATCATCTATAGTTAAAAATTTTTGGTAGCCACGTAAATAAAAAACTAAAGAAACAGGTTAATTTTAATAACATATTTTAGTTAATCCAATACATTAAAAAATGATCATTGCAACATGTGATCAGTGTAGAAGTATTAATTAGGGGGGCTGGGGATGTGGCTCAAGTGGTAGCGCCCTCGCCTGGCATGCATGCGGGCTGGGTTCGATCCTCAGCACCACATACAAAGATGTTGTGTCCGCCGAAAACTAAAAAAAATAAATAAAAATTCTCTCTCTCTCTCTTTTTTAAAAAAGTATTAATTAGGTATTTCAAAATTTTTATACTGTGTGTTCAAAATTTGTGGTGTATTTTGTATTTACAGTGTAGTATCTCAGAGCCAGTTACATATGAAGTAATCAGTTTTCTCAGTAGACTTTCTTATTAGTGTAGATCCAAAAGTTATTAGTGTAGATGCAGAAGTTTGAGGGAGTAATTTAATTTATCTTACTGTTTTTATGTTCACTATTAATAAATGTTAATTTTAAATTATTTTTTGTAGTGCAGGGGATTGAACTGAGGGACTTGTACATGCTAGGCAAGCACTCTACCACTAAACCACACCTCCAGCCCAGTTTTTGTTTTTTTAAATGCTGGAAGTACTAATTGTGAAAACTCAAAAGATATTTTAGAAATGTATAAAAAATTAAAATCCTGACTCTTCACTACTAATGTTTTGTGTTTTAAAAACACAAATGGGATCTTACATATAACTTATTTCATATACGTGTATATGTATTTATAAAAATTCAAGACCTAAATATTTAAAATCTATTTCCATATGGGTGCCTTAAGGTATACTGTGCTCTTTTTAATGGCGACACAATCTTTTATTATATGGATGTATTTAACCTTAATCACCTTCCCCATGAATGATGATTTGAATTCTTTCTGATTTTCTAATTATAAGTAGTATATATAGAAAATATGTCTTTATGTAGGTGGACGAATATTTTCACATAGGCTATAGATGTTGACTTTTAAATATAATTACTTTTGTCAGATTGTCCTCAATGAACCTACCAATTTACATCACTGCCAGGAAAATATGAGTTTCTTTTTTCCATATACTTTTATCAATGCTTTGAGTGAAAAAGAAAAAAAAAAGTTGATAAATCTAATAGGCAAATATAAATCTAGATTTTTTTTGGCCACATTTTCTTCTCTTTTTGAATTAGTTGAATATGTACATAAATCTTCCCCCACCCTGCCCTCCTTTTAAAAATTTGCCTCTTTCAAACTAATTTTAATAACCACATATTATGGATGCTCACACTCTTTGTCTTATGTATAACAAATAGTTTTTTTTTTTTTTTTCAAATTGTCATTTTTCTTCTATTTGTGTTTATGGTATCACTTTCTATATAGAAGCTTTAAATTTTAAGTTTCATGATATTTTATTAACTTTTAAAGTACAATTTAAAATCCAGAATGTACAGTAACAATAATCACAGGTCTGCATGGGTTAACAAAAAATCAAAGGATAGCCTTAAATCTCTAATACATTTATCAAATAGTGTTAATAATCAGAAATTGACTTAGTTAAGGCAAACAGATATAAGACAGGTCTTCAAATGACAGTGTGGCCCTTGTATGTCAGATGCAATGTATATTGGTTGTCCTGCCAGTAAACTTATATAAACT